GGCGGACTGACAACTCATGGGGCCCCCGGGGCAATAGGGGATCATGGGGCCCCTGTGTCTACACTCAAACCACACCCAAAAAAGCCTATGAAAGGTACCAGGGACATCTCATGGGGTCCCCTACTGACCCCGGGCCCTCGGGCATTGCCCGAGTTCCCCAGTGGTCAGTCCGCCCCTGGTTAATATACATGAAAACCAAAAACAGATGAAAATATTCGCCCTATGAGTCCATAATACTTTATTTGCTGATCAGATTTGAAAACAGGAAGACAAGCCGTATCCAAATTCTTTTGGGGGCAAAAAATAAATAAAAAACCTCCCTTCATCGGGGCAGAAATATCTATTAGACTCTTTTTTTTTTTTAATTCCCTGAAAGATAGTCTCTCCGTCAGAAGAGAAGGAAGCTGCCCTAATGGATCTGTATTAAATGTTCTGATGAATAATTAAAATACAGTTTCAGGATGGAACCGTAAAACTTGCTTTACAAACTATTCTTTGAATTAATAAAAAAAAAGTCTTTGCAGATCATTATGTAATATGGCTTATCTGAATATTTATAACATTTTACAGAACTGGGTTTTTTTATTTCTAATTTTACAGTTTCACCCTTAAAATCCCACCATGATCCACCATCATTTTGACTTCTTCATTGACTTGAATACATTTTACCAATATGGTGATTATTTTTTTTTTTTTGCTCAAACGTCCCAAGTTTTAATTAGACCGTATTTGAGTCTGTACGAGGCCCAATCTTGAGTTTAGTCATTGGTTCAAATCCCGACCATGGCACCAAACTGCCTGGAGTTTGCATGTTCTCCCTGTGCCTGCGTGGGTTTCCTCCCACACTCCAAATACATGCTGGTAGGTTAATTTGCTCCTGTCTAAATTGTCCCTAGTATGTGTATGTATGAATGTGAGTTAGAGACCTTAGATTGTACGTTCTTGAGGGTTAGGGACTGATGTGAATGTATAATATATATGTAAAGTGCTGCATAAATTGACAGCGCTATATAAGTACCGGGAGGCAGAGTGGCTTAGTGGTTAGCACTTCTGCCTTGCAGTAATTGGGTCATGGGTTCAATTCCCAACCATGGTGCCTCCTGCATGGAGTTTGCATGTTCTCCCTGTGTTCACATGGGTTTCCTCCAGTTACTCTGGTTTCCTCCCACACTCCAAAGCATGCTGGTAGGCTAATTGGCTCCTATCTAAATTGTCCTAGTTCATCCCTGGCCATGTGGGATCTCCTGCATGGTAGGGGTTGGGGAAAGATCTGGCAACCTACCCTGTAAAATAAAAAACATAAACGTGCAGCACTGTTAAAACCAATAAATAAATACATATATAAACATGTAAGAAAGTGCACACAAATATATAAAGTGACACTGTGCATCTATATATGTGCCAATAGAATATGTGGCCAATATAAACATGAAAGAAACACTGTGTCTAAAACATAAGTCCAGAGTGCAGGTGTGAACGAGATCTCAAATGATCTTCTGGTATCCAAAAGACACAGATTGTGGATAAGGTGAGACAATTAAAGTGTAGATTGCGCACTCACCAGATACGCAACCTTTTTGCGCATTTGTATGATATAATAAGGACATCAGACATCTCATCAAAAAGGTCTGGTCAGATCTGGTCAATGCCTCCTTCGCTATGCCACGGTTTGCACTTAGCCTTCCCAAATGGTAACCACTCTGCGGATGTACCTGGCTCCCACAGGAGCTCAGAAAGAAACAACAGAGGAGGCCAGTAGTGCAATATTGCCTTAGGATGTTTATTCCACACAATGGGTATGTATACAGCAAGAAAGCAAATAAAATAGATTACTGACCTATTGCAAGCTGCCGCCGGGACCCCTTGTGGTGCCGGCGGTAAGCGTCAAAACAGCTACAGCCCGAGTTTCTCTTGAGGAACATCTAACACAAGATCCATCTATGGTGGACTGCTTTCTGTAGCTACAAATTGGAAGGTACAGAGGATTCTGCTATCATAGGTTAGAAGCTGTCATCCATGGTGGATTAAAACTATATGAGTCTTGGAGATCCCTGAAAAGGTTTCCACTCATGAAAGGTAAGACATTCTTGAGTTCCCCCGCTGTTGATGACCAGGGGAGCCCCAACCCCCAGTGATGGCCAGGGGAGCCCCAACCCCCAGAAAGGTTCTCCACTCTTGGAAGTGATAAATATTCATGTGTTGGCCTGCTACTGATGGCCTAGAGCAGGGGCGGACGGACCATTTGGAAACTCGGGCACTGCCCAAGGGCCCGGGGTCAGTAGGGGGCCCCATGAGATGCCCCTGGTACCTTTTTCATAGGCTTTTTTGAGTTTGGGCAAGGACACAGGAGCCCCATGATCCCCTATTGCCCGGGGGCCCCATGAGTTGTCAGTCCGCCCCTAACCTGGACACTTTCAGCTTGCAGTGCCAACAAATAACCAGGTTTAACAGTGCCACCATGCAGGAACTTTGAGCAGCCTTCAGCTTTCACCATACCTATTGCTGCACACATTTGAATTCAAGGTGCTTTCATTCAGGATTCAGATTAGGTGCATACTGGTTTTGACAATGCAAAGAAAATTTGGAAATCTGAAGCCAGTCTGCTTTGAAACTAAGAAAGCCATGCCACCTGAAGGAGTGGAAACCTCAGAACGCTCATCAGAGGGGTTCAGACCAGGAGAAGATCTAGCTAATTAGGAGGATGTGTGTAAAGTTGGAGGGAGCAAGTCTATTGGTTTGCCCCTAAAATAGATCTTGGGGACCCCAGAAAGGTTTTCAACTTATGGAAGTGCTAAGATATTCATGTGTTCCCCCACTGCTGATGGCCAGGAGACTCTCAGCTTGCAGTGCCAGCAAGTAACAAGGCTTAAGGGTACAGCCATGAAGGAGCTTTGAGAAGCCATTGGTGTCATCCATACCCATTGCTGCTCACCTTTGGATTCCCAGAACTATTTGGTGAAGGTTGAGACTTGTAGGTGTAGACTAGCATTGACAATGCATTGAAATTTTAAGAAATCTGAAGTCAATCTGCTCTGAAACAAAGAAAGCCAAGACACTTGAAGGAGTAGAAACCTCAGGACACTCATCACAGTGGTTCAGACCAAGGGAGGACCTAGCTGATTAGCTGTGTGTGTGTGTGTGGAGTTTGGTGGGATAATTTCTTAGGTCTGCCCTTATAATGGGTCTTAGGGACCCCAAAAAGGTTTTCCACTCTTGTAAGTGGTAAGATATCCATGTTTTCCCTCCCTGCTGATGGCCAGGAGATCCTCAGCTTGGAATGCCAACAAGTAACAAGGTTTATCATAACCATCTTGCAGCTCAAAGGCTACTGGAACTTTGAGAAACCATTTGTATTCTTCATACCCATTGCTGCGCACCTTTAGATTTCCATTGCTTTTTGCTGAGGGCTGAGATGTGTAGGTGTAGACTGCCATTGACAATACCATTGAAAAGTTCAGAAATCTGAAGTCAACTCCTTTGAAACAAAGAAAGTTAAGCTGCTTGAACAAGTTGAAACCAGAGAATGTTTATCACAGGGATTTAGACCAAGGAAATACCCAGAAGACTAGTAGAGTGTGCGTGTTGAGTTGGAGGCAGAACATCTTAGGCTTGCCTCTATTATGGGTCTTGGGGACCCCAAAAATGTTTTTCACACCTGGAAGTGGGAAGATATTTATGCGTTCTCCCACTGCTGATGGTCAGAAGACTCTCAGCTTGCAGCACCATTGGATAAAATAGTTCATCTGCATTAAAACAAAGAAAGCCAAGCTGCTCAAAAGAGTGGAAACCTAAGAATGTTCATCACAGGGGTTCAGACCAGGGGAAGACCTAACTGATTGGCAGGGTGTGTGTGTTAAGTTAGAATGAGAATGTCTTAGGCTTGCCATTCTAATAGGTCTTGGGGACCCCAAAAAGGTTTTCCTCTCCTGCAAAACATGAACCATTATGTAAGGTGGTAATCTGCACTAAACCAAAGAAAGCCAAGCCGCTCTAAGGTGTGGTAACCCCAGGGTGCAGAGTCCGCAGGGTTCAGACAAGAGAAAGACCTAGCTTATCGGCAAGGTGTGCGTGTCTTAGGTTGGAGTGGGAACAGGGGCGGACTGACCATTTGGAAACTCGGGCGGCCCCATGAGATGCCCCTGGTACCTTTTTCATAGGCTTTTTTAAGTTTGGGCAAGGACACAGGGGCCCCATGATCCCCTATTGCCCGGGGCCCCATGAGTTGTCAGTCCGCCCCTGAGTGGGAATGTCTATAGGCTTGCGAAGTCAGCATGACCCTCTAGCATCATCGGGGCCCGTTCACTGCTGGAGATGACCCAAATCGCCTTTAGTAAATGTCTTAGGTTTTGGAACTGAAATGAAGGTCTGCAGACCTCCACCATCCAATCACATGCAAATAAAAATGCTGTATTCTTTGCAAAGTGAAACATCACCCATTCGCTAAGCTCTGGGACATATTCCTTTGTAAATACACAGCCTATTTGCCTTTAGTAAAAGCAACCCCTGTACATCTACTTCCTCTTTGTATCGCTTTAATAGAACCTAGTTGTCACAGAGAGGCCTCTAGTTGGTTCCCTATACTGTCAACAAAATGAAGATATTCTGCTAAGTATTTCCCCTGGTGACTAAATCTGATGATGACTACATAGCAGAAGAACATGATACCTGTGGGTTTACCAAAGTCAGAAAATTAGACGTGGGGATACCCACCTAACAGTCACAAGAGAACTTCATACAGTATTTTCGATGTATTCCAGTAAAAGAGAATTCAAAATCAAATATTTTTAAAGTTTCTAACTGCGAAGCTAGACATTTTTTGCAGTCTTCAACAATTTTTTAGAAGCACAGGAAGGAAATACAAAAATATCTGTGTATCTGAATGATATTAAAAAGAAGTATGCAACATATTATCTATAAATAAATAAATAATAATAATAATAATAATAATAAAAATAAACAAATTAAAAAAAATTATATATATATCCTCTGCTCACTTTTAGGCGATCTCTGCAAACCTCTCTCTTCAGGGAAGCCTATCCTGCCCTCAGCTAATACTGGAATCTTCTACTCTCCCTACCAGTCCATCCCCCACAGTTACTACCTTTTGTATCACTAGCCCCTCCCTTCTAGATTGTACTCAGTGTCCTCCATCCTTCTCTGCCAGTCCCTCCACTGGCCTCCACTCAGTGTCCTCCACCCCTCTCTGCCAATCCCTCCACTGGCCTCCACTCAGTGTCCTCCACCCCTCTCTGCCAATCCCTCCACTGGCCTCCACTCAGTGTCCTCCACCCCTCTCTGCCAATCCCTCCACTGGCCTCCACTCAGTGTCCTCCATCCCTCTCTGCCAATCCCTCCACTGGCCTCCACTCAGTGTCCTCCACCCCTCTCTGCCAATCCCTCCACTGGCCTCCACTCAGTGTCCTCCACCCCTCTCTGCCAATCCCTCCACTGGCCTCCACTCAGTGTCCTCCACCCCTCTCTGCCAATCCCCTCCACTGGCCTCCACTCAGTGTCCTCCATCCCCCTCTGCCAATCCCTCCACTGGCCTCCACTCAGTGTCCTCCACTCCCCTCTGCCAATCCCTCCACTGGCCTCCACTCAGTGTCCTCCATCCCCCTCTGCCAATCCCTCCACTGGCCTCCACTCAGTGTCCTCCACCCCTCTCTGCCAATCCCTCCACTGGCCTCCACTCAGTGTCCTCCATCCCTCTCTGCCAATCCCTCCACTGGCTTCCCATTGACCAACAAATTCAAAACATTAACAATAACATATAAAGCCATTTATAACTCTGCCCCAAATTACATCACCGATCTTGTCTCCAAATATCACGCAAACCCTCCTCCCACGACCTCCTGTTCTCTAGCTCCCTTGTCTCCTCCTCCCATGCTCGTCTCCAGGACTTCTCCAGAGCCTCCACCATCCTCTGGAACTCTCTACCCCAATCTATCAGACTATCGCCTACTCTGCCCACTTTTAGGGGATCTCTGAAAACCTCTCTCTTCAGGGAAGTCTATCCTGCCCTCAGCTAATAATGGAATCTTCTACTCTCCTACCAGTCCATCCCCCACAGTTATTACCTTTTGTACCACTAGCCCCTCCCTCCTAGATTGTAAGCTCCTGGGATCAGGGCCCTCCTAACCCTCTTGTATTGAACTGTATTGTTGTGGTATTGTCTCCCGTTATATTGTAAAGCGCTGAGCAAACTTTTGGCGCCATAAATCCTGTATAATAATAATATATATATAAAATTTATACCATGCAAAAAAATGCATTAATTCAATACATTAATGCATTCATAAGTATATAACATATTAATTATAATACATAATAAATAATATTATAATATGTTATAGTAAAAAGAATATATAATGTTATAATATCATATTATAGTATACTGTAATTATTATTTTTATATTTAAAAGCTATATATAGTTACATAGTTAGTCTGGCTGAAAAAAGACAAATGTCCATCTAGTTCAACCATTAAAAAAAAGTTATAATCCTATACCCACAGTTGATCCAGAAGAAGGCAAACCCCACCCTCCCAGCAAAGAATGATCCAATTTGCTCCTGCAGGGGAAAAAAAAATTTGCTTTCTGATCCCCCGAGAGGCAATTGGATATTCCCTGGATCAACTTATATTGTATATAGTACAAATAATCTGCAGATTTTAAAAAAAATGCAATAATACAGTACATTAATGTATCAATTAGCATATAAAATAGTATTTATAATATATGATAATTTTATAACATACTATTACAGTATAATATCATTTTTATATTATAATTAAAGCCATACAAATTATAATATATATATTTATTATACAGGATTTATATGGCGCCAACAGTTTGCTCAGCACTTTACAATATAAGGGGGGGCGGTACAATTACAATACATTTCAGTACAGAAGGAATAGGAGGGCCCGGCTCGTGGAGCTTACAATCTATAGGAAGGGGGAGATGATACAAAAGGTGATATATATATATATATATATATATTTCCTGAAAAAATGCTGTGCAAATTAATAATTTAAGTACCTGATTTGCGCAGCAGGTTTGTCATGAATTTTTATTTTTTATATATTTGTTGATGCATTGGTGTATGGGTTTTATACAATTTTTTTAAATTTGTATACATTATTGTATACAACTTCAAGCAGAACAGTGGCTAAATGGTTAGCACTTCCACCTGGCAGTACTCGGGTCGTTTGTTCAAATCCCGACCATAGCAGCACTGTGCCTGGAGTTTGCATGTTCTCCTTGTGCCTTCATGGGTTTCCTCCAGGTACTCTGGTTTCCTCCCACACTCCAAAGACATGCTGGTAGGTGAATTGTCTCCTTCTAAATTGTCCCTAGTATGTGTATGTATGAATGTGAGTTGGGGACCTTAGATTGTACACCCCTTGAGGGTGAGGGACCTTAGATTGTACGCCCCTTGAGGGTTAGGGACCTTAGATTGTACGCCCCTTGAGGGTGAGGGACCTTAGATTGTACGCCCCTTGAGGGTTAGGGACCTTAGATTATACGCCCCTTGAGGGTTAGGGACCTTAGATTGTACGCCCCTTGAGGGTTAGGGACCTTAGATTATACGCCCCTTGAGGGTTAGGGACCTTAGATTGTACACCCCTTGAGGGTTAGGGACCTTAGATTGTACGCTCCTTGAGGGTTAGGGACCTTAGATTGTACGCCCCTTGAGGGTTAGGGTTAGATTGTACGCTCCTTGAGGGTTAGGGACTGATGCGAATGTACAATATATATGTAAAGCGCTGCGTACATTGATGGCACTATAATAAATAAAATATTGTATGCAGGGGCAGACTGACCATTTGGAAACTCAGGCACTGCCCGAGGGCCCGGGGTCAGTAGGGGGCCCCATGAGGTGCCCCTGGTACCTTTTTCATAGGCTTTTTTGTGTTTGGGCAAGGACACAGGGACCCCATGATCCCCTATTGCCCGGGGGCCCCATGAGTTGTCAGTCCGCCCCTGATTGTATGGTATGAATTTTTTAGTTTTTATTTTTTGGGTAGTGCTGTAAATCCTACTACAGCACACCGGCAAAAATTATTTATAGTGGGTTTTTACCTTTTAATTAATAATTAGAAATATAATCCATTGGTTTAAATTTTTTTTGTAATTCCCTCCAGTGTTGTCTAAAATTGCTACATTGTACCTATTGTTACAAAGGCATATGTGTTTCCTAAGCTCCTTATCTCCATCCAGTGGCCATAATGTGGTATTTTACTGCCGCCTATTATAAAATAACATTCGCTCAGAGGAGATAATAGCCAAAAGAACATTTGTTGTTGCCCAATTTGCGCAGAATGAATAACATGCTGATTCACTAGATGAATGGTTCTGTAAATTTTTTTATATGTATTCCTCTCGTAGTATGGAAATACTGGCCTATTTTATATATTTGGATAAAGGCGTCATCAGGGGCGGACTGACAACTCATGGGGCCCCCGGGCAATAGGGGATCATGGGGCCCCTGTGTGCTTGCCCAAACTCAAAAAAGCCTATGAAAAAGGTACCAGGGGGCATCTCATGGGGCCCCCTACTGACCCCGGGCCCTCAGGCAGTAGGGGGCCGAGTTTCCAAATGTTCAGTCCACCCCTGGGCATCACTAATTTTTGTGTTTGCAAGTTGATAAATGTAATTAAAAATGAATTTTTATCAGGAGATTCCCACTTCACAAGACTCACTTCACTGCAGCAAAGGGAGTGAGACCCCAAAGTGGTGCGGAGAGGAGACGACAGACAGGAAATCTTTCCACCAGAACAGAGTGCAGTATACGATTCAGCTCTCCGTCATTCACAAGCTGTATAAAGAACAAATAGGCAATAACCAGGAATTATAAAACAGATTCTCTAAATATCCCCAAAGAAAAGTAAACCTTTCACCCTTGAAAGTACAAATATATAGAAAACCTTTTTCTTCAAACTACTTAGTCCCCTTCCTTAAATACAAAATAACCTAAATCAATTCAAAATAGTCCACCACAAGTCCACACTATTATTAGGTCTTCAAGCGTTGAAAATTGTCCCATTCATCACTTCAAATCCAAGAAACCTCAAAAGAAATAAACTAAATATAGTGCATTAACTTTTAACAACAATCAAATATTGTGATACCATGCAAGAAAACACTCGTGAGGAGAAAGCATTTCAAATACTCCGGGGTACAACCAGCTTTCCCCTTGTGGAAACCATTCCCCTTGTTGTACCCCGGAGTATTTGAAATGCCTATCTGAGCTGAAAGAGGGTAATAGTATTGAACCCTACCAGAGTGGTGGCACTTCTGTGGATTGTGGATTAGTATATACTCACAAGTTGAGCATTTGCTGTGTATTTATTTGCTAGAGTGTTGGCACTTTTTGCACATATATCACAAGCTTAGTCATTTGCTGTGGATTTCACCCCACGAGTGGGCTGTGTAGGTGTATTCACGTTATTTACTTATTTATTTTTTAGTAATTTTTACACGTGAGATTCACCAAAAGTAGTGATTTATTTATTTAAATATTTTTTTTTTTTCTCTCTCTCTTTCTCCTCACGAGTGTTTTCTTGCATGGTATCACAATATTTGATTGTTGTTAAAAGTTAATGCACTATATTTAGTTTATTTCTTTTGAGGTTTCTTGGATTTGAAGTGATGAATGGGACAATTTTCAACGCTTGAAGACCTAATAATAGTGTGGACTTGTGGTGGACTATTTTGAATTGATTTAGGTTTATTTTGTATTTAAGGAAGGGGACTATGGTGTCCGTTTGTGAACCAGAGGTAATAGATCGCTGCTCAGTTCTCACCGTCATTCTCGGAGAACAAAGTTCTCCTGTGAATGCAGTTTATGAAGCAGTTCTCCGAACGAAGGGAGAACGGTCTCCAAACGCTGGATAACGGTCTACAAACTCTGAAAAACGGCTCATTTTACTATAATCTCTCCAGATTACAGTAAAAGACCAGTTTACTAAGCAGAGGTAAATTATCTCTGCTTAGTTTTCGGTCCCTCTGATTCTCCAGCTCTGGGCTGGAGAATCTGGACGGAGAACACAGATCTCCAGAGAAGGGCTGACAGGATCTCCTGAGTGTTATAAACTGTGAATGACCAGAGAATAGCTGAGATCCGTTGAATCGCAGCTATTCTCTGTGTCATAAAAGGACACCTAAGTAGTTTGAAGAAAAGGTTTTCTATATATTTGTACTTTCAAGGGTGAAAGGTTTACTTTTCTTTGGGGATATTTAGAGAATCTGTTTTATAATTCCTGGTTATCGCCTATTTCTTCTTTATACAGCTTGTGAATGACGGAGAGCTGAATCCTATACTGCACTCTGTTCTGGTGGAAAGATCTCCTGTCTGTCGTCTCCTCTCCGTACCACTTTGGGGTCTCACTCCCTCTGCTGCAGTGAAGTGAGTCTTGTTTTTCTTATTTCATGACTCTCC